GATGGTAAAGAACCTGCCCGCGATGCAGGAGACCTGGGATCGCTTCCTGGGTCAGGAAGATCCCCTGGAAAAGGAAATGGCAACCCACTGCAGTATTCTTGCCTGGAGAATCCCATGAACAGAGGCGCCTGGCGGGCTGTATTTCATGGGGTCGCAAGAGTTGGACACGACTGAGTGACTGACACACACGTCTGACACTATTCTGATAGAGCATTTATCACACTATAGGGCAGTGCAGGGACTGCCCTGGTGGCTCACTTGGCAAAGAATCCACGTGCAACGTGGGAGACCTGGGTTTGATCCCTGGGTTGGGAAGATCCCCTGGAGCGAGGCATGGCAACCCATTCCAGTATTCTTGCCTGGAGTATCCCCACGGACAGAGGAGCCTGGCGGTCACAAAGTGTTGGACACGACCGAGTGACTAAGCCTGTAGCACATATGGCAGTGTGGGCATGTCCATCTCCCCTGTTAAGTTGTGAATTCCCGGAGGGTATCTCCAAATCTAGTACAGCACCCATCATTTCTGCATGCCTTCTTTGCTTCATTCCACAAACATTTCTGAGCATCTAGTGACACTTGAGGTTCTACTGCCAGGCCCTGTGTAGGTGATGAAGATAAAGCAGTGAAGAGGAAACACAGACCCTTGTGATGGGAGACAGAAAACAAACTAGTATCAACTGATTGTCAGGTGGTGATAGAATAAAGCTGGAACCACATAGAGAACTTTAAGAGTAAGGTCAGTGAGTCTGGTTGGGGTAGACACCCTCCTCCATTCCGCTGCTGTAACCATGTGTTGTGCTAAGTCGCTTCAGTCGTGTCCGACTCTTTGTGACCCAATGGACTGTAGCCCTCCAGGTTCCTCTGTCCATGGGATTCTCCAGGTAAGAATACTGGAGTGGGTTGCCATGCCCTGTTCCATAGATTAAGTGTTTCATAAAGCGCCGACATTTATTTCTCATGGTCTGGAGGCTGGGGTGTCCAAGGTCATGGTGCTGAGAGTCAGTGTCGGGTGCTTCCACATGGCTGTCTTTTTCACTGTGACCTTACATGGTGGGAGGAAGGGGGAGCTTTCTGGGCTGCTTTTGTAAGGGCACTAATCTCGTTCCCAAGTGCTCCACCCTCATGACTTAATTGCTTCCCAGGGGTCCCACCTCCCAACACCATCCCCTTGGGTGGGGGTTAGGGTCTCAACATGTGAATTTTGAAGAGACACAAACATTCAGCTTATAGCAGACTCCCTGAAGAGCTGACATGTGAGCAGTGCTTACAGGAAGAATGAGTCAGCTTCAAGGAGATGGGTGTGCAGAACTGTGAGCAGAGCCAAAGGCTGTGCAGTTACTTGCTCACTGCACAATACATGATGACCATGGCTTTTCCTTTAAAAAAAACATTTTAAACATATCTTCTGAAAAACTATGGCCAAATAGCATCTATCAGACCAAGTAAGATGATTTTCTTAATGATTTTCTGGATGAGAGTCAAGCAAAGAGAAATGTGACCTTTCCATCAAGAAATATGTGTGCCTTTGTGTCATGAACCTCCGATGAAAAGCTTCTGTGTCTAAGTGCTGGGCAGGCCCTCTTGTTTATTAGATCCACATAATTTACTCTAGGGAAATGTGTCTAGGTCAAAATGAAAACCAGGCCAAACAGTATTTCTACGTGCTTATGTCTTAGGGCAATGCTCTTTTTAAAATATATGTATATAGCTATAGGAAAAGTTTTGACCACAGTCATAGGAAAAACCTAAAGGGCAGCCTTGCTCAAGAATGTACCCTGTACTGGTACATGAAAATATGCTTAACATCACTAATTATTAGAGAAGTGCAAATCAACAGCACAAAGAAGTACCACTTCACACAGGTCAGAATGATCATCATTAAAACATCTACAAATAGCAAATGCTGGGGATAGTGTGGATAAAAGGGAACCCTCCCCCACTGTTGGTGGGAATGTGAATTGGTACAGCCACTGTGGAAAACAGTGGGGAAGTTCCTCAGCATCTTAATATAGAATTGCCATATGATCTAGCAATTCTACTCCTGGGCATATGTACATAAAAAACTATATTCAAAAAGATACATGCACCCCTATGTTCACAGCAGCACTATTCACAAAAGCCAAAACATGAAACAACCTGAATGCCCATCTACAGATGACTGGATAAGATGTGTGTGTGTGTATGTGTGTGTGTATATATATATGTATACACTCACACATACACAATAGAAGACTACTCAGCCATAAAAAATAATGAAATAATGCCATTTGCAACAACGTGGATACAGCTAGAGATTATCAGACAGAGAAAGACAAATATACAATATCACTTACATGCGGAACCTGAAATATGATATAATGAACTTGTTTACAAAACAGAAACAGATTCACAGACATAGAGATTTATGGTGGGATGGATTGGGAGCTTGGGACTAGCAGATGTAAACTATTATATAGAGAATGGATAAACAGCAAAGTCCTTCTGTACAGCACAGGGAACTATATTCAATATCCTGTGATAAACCATCATGGAAAAGAATTTGAAAAAGAATGTGTGTATATGAAAATACACACATGTATATGTGTAACTGAATCACTTCACTATACAGCAGAAATTAACATCTTATATATCAACTATATTTCAATGAAATAAATTTTAAAAAAGTTTAATTCACTGTTCTTCATTTTAATGCCATCTTCCAGGGAATTCCCTGGTGGTCCAGCGGTTAGGACCTGTGTTTTCACTGCCTAGATGGTGGGTTTAATCCCTGGTTGGGGAACTAGGGTACTACAAGCCCACAGTGTGACCAAGAAAAGTAAAAAGTCACCTTCCTTTGTGTTAGTGGATCGTAGGCATGAAACCATTTTGAAAACTTCACCTAATGAATGAAATGGGTCATTCCACTTCAGACTAAAGTTTATTAAATTTTTTTTTTTTTTTGCATAGAGACAACTCTTAGAATACAGTCAAGTTCATCTATATATAGGTATGGTTTCCCTGAACTGACAATATACAGTAAGATTTATTTTAAAATTTTCTCCAGTTCCAAACTTTCTAACTAGAGTTACAGAGATGGAATTGTATCATAATTGTTACCATTTTGTTTTCATTTCTACATAAGCATCTATAAATTATACATCTCTTGAGGTGTCAGTACTTGAAATAATAAGGAATAAGAGGCTTGGGTTAGTAGAAAAATGTGAAATTTAAAAATTTGTGACATCTTTAAAACTTCTGGTATTTTGTCTAAATTTCTTCATTTAAACACTTCTTACAAGTTTCTCACTGGTGAAACTGAATATTTTGATTGAGATCAATATTCACCCTCTATCATACAGCTAAAGAATAGCGTGATTAATTACATCCCATGTCACTGGGTATTTTACTATTGAATTAGTCAGAATAGATAATGTAGTAATTCCACCTTTGGAATATCCAAACGGGATGCAAAAAATTAGATTTTTCAGTTTATGCTGTGTTCTGTCAGTTATAAAAATATTTTCAGCTGAAAATGCTGAAATTTTGGTCATGAAGTTCTAATTGCTGGTATCTTGGGAAACGAACCAGAAACCTTGGGTTGGTTGGTCTGTCAGAGGTGATCTTGCCATGAGCAGCTGTCATCCTCTGAGCTGCTAATTCAACGAGAATCAATAAAATCTGGATGTGACCCGAGGAGCTCTGTGGAGGCTGAAATTACTCTGGACTTTTCCCTGTTGGTGGTGAAGTGAGATCATACATTTCCCAGTCACCTTCTTTGTTTCGTCTTAGACGTGTTTACTTTAAGAGAGAAATTCAGCTTGACCCTGAACTTTACCCTTAGCTAGAGTCTGCTTCTAGGTTGGAAGTTCAGTTCATTTTTTTTTTCAGACTCTCACTCATATAAGTGGAAAAAAGGTATTTGTCCATATTTTTCACTTTTTTTTTTCCAGACTCTCACTCATACAAGTGGAAAAAAGGTATTTGCCCATATTTTTCACTTTTTTTTTCCAGATTCTCACTCATATAAGTGGAAAAAAGGTATTTGTCCATATTTTTCACTTTTGAGGGGAGGGGGTATAATTAGAACTAGCAGGACTTAGAGGCTAGTGTCTCGTGACAATGAAACTGAAGAGACCAACTGGCCAGAGGGCAAGTCACAAATAGAAACCTGTGATTGTGAAATCCGGGGGTGGGGTGGGGTGGGGGGAGAGGGAGTGTGTAAAATTATCAAAGCCCATTCTGATCCTGAAGATGTTAACTGGTGTGCAGAATATTTAGGATATAGTAGTTTATGTTGGCAAATACATGTAGTTTTTTATTTTAATTTTTTTATTATTTAATTTTCATTTTATTTTGGAATACCATTGATTTACAATATTGTGTTAATTTCAAGTGTACAACAAAGTGATTCAGTCCTCCATATATATATATATATATATATATATATATATACACACACACACACATTCTTTTTCAGATTCTTTTCCCACATTGGTTTTACAGAGTACTGAGTATTACCCTTTCTTTTTAAAGTATAGTTGATTTACGACATATAATTGTTTTTGTCATAAACATTTTTTTAGGCATTTGGTGAAGTATGGAAGACAAGGCATTTAACATCAGTTCAATCTCGGGCCCTGTGTTCCTCTTTCTGACACCACCCCCCTCCCCCTCCAAAGGTAACAGCCTGGCATTCCCCACTCCAGGCATGTTTACATGTTTTACCAAATATGTTTGTACCAAAGAAAATATGATAACAACAAAAACTCCATGTGTATGTGTATCAAGATAACTCACAGAATGCAGTCATAAAGCAACTTTATTTTTGTCCCTTGACATTTCGTTTGTTGGAATAGATCTTCCCTGTCCCTGGATGAAAACTGAGAAAGGTCCATGATTGCTCTTGTCACTCTTCGATTGAAAAAAAGAGAAAAGCCCCACGATCTCTTTACAAAGAGTCCCACGATCTCTTTAGGTCACAAAGCATAGTCCCAATTCATTCATTGAGATGTCTGTTAGCATCAGAAACTCCTGGAGAGGGGTGCCATACTGGGGCTTTGAATCGGCGTCCCACGGCCGAGCAGGCTCTCAGCCCTGGCGGTGGACAGACTGGCTGTGAAGTCCACGTGGTTGAACCACATGCTGCCCGCCGCACCCCCTCGGTCCCAGAACCATTTCTCGCGGTCCCACAGAGCAAGCACCAGGGGGCTGGGGTGAACTGGCCGACAGCAAAGCGCTCTCCACTTTCTCGGTAAGAAGCTCTGCAGGGCACACTCTCCGATGCCCACTCGCACGGCGGGGATGACCAGCTGGCCACGCCCCGAATCAGCGCGCATGCCCAGATCAGGCTCTGAGCATCCCTCCCTCGGGCCGAACCTCCCGGAAGCCCGGGTACCAGGGAACCAGGGTGATGCCGTGCACGGGTCCAGGTTTCCAGAATATAGAGAGGACACCGAAGGAGAAAGGATCGGAGGGGCGAAGACACTGTCCCGCCCACCGCACATGAGCCGGCGGCCAGCTCTCCGTTCTGCCCCGTCTTCCACGAGGCCCTCTTTGCTCCAAAGCCACACACCTCAACTCTACGGCTCTGCACGCCATGCTAGCTATAAGGCACGACTTCACTTCTCCTAGAATCAGCATGTCAAGTTCCATCAAAAACAAACAAACAACTCTTACAGGGACTTTATCAGGCCCGTGCGTTCTTCAGTTTCTAATAAGCTAGTCTGTTAAGTGAACTGATAGATTAGTTTTACCCTGTGAGCCTAAATGGCCCCCGTTTCAGAGGCATTTTCACTTTCTGCCTCTGTCACATGTGGGCAATATGTAGCTGCATTTTATCCAGACACCACACAGTTTCCTTAATAAACAGAAATATTGTGTTCACTTCAAAATCTGTGTAGAACTTTCGGACAGAAAACGATGTACACAAGCCACTTTTCCTTTTCTTTGGAATTTTGTTTCTATCAGGGGTCTGATTATTTTTAATGTATAGCCCTTGCTGGCAGGGGTTGGTAAAGTGGCTATTGTCAATATGATTGCTGTTGGGAATTCTGGTTACTTATAGATGATTTTTCCTATCCTCAAGCAGTGCTTCCAAATCATTAGATATTAAGCAAAGATTTTTCTCTCTGCAATATTAAAAATGCCCAAACATGCCGTCAGGCCTTTCCTTTCCTGACTAACTGAAGCACTCCTTGTTTTTAAATTAGACAATAACATCTGCAACAATGTTCCTTTTTCATAATCTTTCAAATATCCGAGAAAATATGAATTAGACTAAAGAAAATATTTGTACATTGTATGAGATGCACAAAGCTGTGCAAAAATTGTGCACACTAATCCTTTAATTGGAAAGAAAAGGTCATAAATCATCTAAGTTTCTGAGTCCTTGCATATCACAGAACCTGCGCTCTACAGTTGTGTCCGTGGCATTTATTTGATTGTTCCCAGAAGACTAATTGCCAGAACATATTGAATAAAAATTATGATGTTCATTTCCTGGCAATAAATTGGTCTGTGAAAATATGAAGTAACAGAATATATACATGAACAGAAACATTAAGAACAACAGGTCTGGCAGCCAATGGACTGATTTTTCACTGCCATCCCCCCATCCCCCACCTACCTTTAAAAAAAATAATAAACCTCTTTGTATGAAAAACAAAAGGAGATTCTTCAAAGACAAAGTGACTTAATTAATCTGAAGATTAGAGATTTCATTACCAAGGTAAAAAGTGACATACAAAGTTAAATGCTTGACAAGGTCCATAAGTACTTATTACTTAGATTCTATGAGAAAAAAATATGAAAATTTTACTGGTGTAAATTTGTTTTAACTTGACAGTGACCCATAGCCAATGATCTTTGGCTTTCTCCACTTCATTATTTCTTTTTTGCAAAATGGAGGCTTAATTTTTTTTTTTTAAAGTAGGCATTAAGTTCCTATAGGGCTTCCTAGTTTTAGACAGTATTTCTCAGAACTTCACATCTGCACCACTGAAGGTTTATGGGAAGAGCTTAGGATACAGCACAGAAGAGCCCTATCCTTTATTTGATCACATAATTCTGTTCACTCATTTTGGAACAGCATATATGTACCACTGTACTCCTAACTATCCTAGAACTTGGGAGGGCTTAAGCTACATTTTGGCATTCAAAATTCATGGCAGACAAGATGGGGTGCAGACATTTGCTATTCTCTATAGGTTTCCAAGTTTTGTGGTGTGCAGAGAACTACTATAAAACCATAAACTCTGTGGGAGGAAGGATAAAGTCTTCACATTTTACACATCTGCAGATTAAAGTTGGTCATTGTGTAATGGTTCTATTTATCGATGCTTATCCTCCAGCCAAGGACAAATGATGAGGATCACTTTGACCTATATCAATTAGCATTTATCCCATTAAGAAGTGATTTGCAAGCCTGTTGGGTTCATTTTAACTGCTAAATGAACGACAAGCACATTCTTCATCCAGTTTCTTGGAACTTTGTACAGAGAATTCTAGTCAGTAAAATCTTAAATGAATACAAAGTATCATTTGTGCTTTACAAGGTTCCAGAAAACTTTGAAAAGTATAAACTTTCTAAAAGTGAATGTTTATCAGATTAAAGAAGTTTAAAGAATTAAGGAGAAAAATATTACAACACTTTTAAGTGTTTTCTACTTTTAACCATTCTCAGGTGGTTCAGATGGTAAAGAATCTGCTTGAAATGCAGGAGACGTGGGTTCAATCCCTGTATCACAAAGATCCCCTGGGGAAGGGAATGGAAACTCACTCCAGTATTCTTGCCTGGGAAATCCCAAGGAGAGGAGCCTGGAAGGCTACAGTCCATGACATCACAGAGTTGGACACAACTGAGCAGTTAACACACAGACATAGATTTAATGTAACACCCTGGCAATGCCAATGACATACAGAATAACAAAAGAACAAAGTATAAGTATGAGGCCCATTCATTATGTTTGTCAGAAGTTTTGAAAGCAATTCCTTTCGTTTCCCTGGGAATTCCTGATCCAGAGGGAAAAGCTCACTGGAATCAAGAATAGTTATCTTTAGGCAAAAGTCCTAGAACCAGACATCCTGGAAGGTGAAGTCAAGTGGGCCTTGGAAGCATCACTATGAACAAAGCTAGTGGAGGTGATGGAATTCCAGTTGAGCTATTTCAAATCCTTAAAGATGATGTTGTGGAAGTGCTACACTCAATACGACAGCAAATTTGGAAAACTCAGCAGTGGCCACAGGACCGGAAAAGGTCAATTTTCATTCCACTCCCAAAGAAAGGCAATCCCAAAGAATGTTCAAACTACCACACAATTGCACTCATCTCACATGCTAGCAAAGTAAGGCTCAAAATTCTCCAAGCCAGGGTTCAACAGTACGTGAACCGTGAATTCCCAGATGTTCAAGCTGGGTTTAGAAAAGGCAGAGGAACCAGAGGTCAAATTGCCAACATCTGTTGGATCATCGAAAAAGCAACAGAGTTGCTGAAAAATGTCTACTGCTTTATTGACTATGCCAAAGCCTTTGACTGTGTGGATCACAACAAACTGTGGAAAATTCTTCAAGAGATGGGAATACCAGACCATCTGACCTGCCTTCTGAGAAATCTGTATGTAGGTCAAGAATTAACAGAATTGGACATGAAACAACAGACTGGTTCCAAATAAGAAAAGGAGTATGTCAAGGTTGTATATTGTCACCCTGCTTATCTAACTTATATGCAGAGTACATCATGAGAAATGCTGGGCTGGATGAAGCACAAGCTGGAATCAAGATTGCTGGGAGAAATATCAATAACCTCAGATACACAGATAACACTACCCTTATGGCAGAAAGCAAAGAACTAAAGAGCCTCTTGATGAAATTGAAAGAGGAGAGAAAAAGGTGGCTTAAAACTCAACATTCAGAAAACTAAGATCATGGCATCTGGTCCCATCACTTCATGGCAAATAGATAGAGAAACAATGGAAACAGTGACAGACTTTATCCTTTTGGGCTCCAAAATCACTGAAGATGGTGACTGTAGCCATGAAATTAAAAGATTCTTGCTCCTTGGAAGAAAAGCTATGATCAACCTAGACAGCATATTGAAAAGTAGAGACATTACTTTGCCAACAAAGGTCCGTCTATAGTCAAAGCTGTGGTTTTTCCAGTAGTCATGTATGGATGTGAGAGGGACTATAAAGAAAGCTGAGCACCAAAAAATTGATGCTTTTGAACTGTGGTGTTGGAGAAGCCTCTTTAGAGTCCCTTGGACTGCAAGATCAAACCAGTCAATCCTAAAGGAAATCAGTCCTCAATATTCATTGGAAGGACTGATGCTAAGCTGAAGCTCCAATATTTTGGCCATTTGATGGGAAAAAACAATTCTTTGGAAAACACCCTGGTGCTGGGAAAGATTGAAGGCAGGAGGAGAAGAGGACAACAGAGGATGAGATGGTTGGATGACATCACTAGACTCGATGGATGTGAGTTTGAGCAAGCTCCTGGAGTTGGTGATGGACAGGCAAGCCTGGTGTGCTGCAGTCCATGGGGCCGCTGAGTCGGACACGACTGGGTGACTGAACTGAGGCAGAAGTCCACCTCTAATGGAATTTGAGCACAGATACTCTCTTAGAACAAGACTTCTATAAACGGGAGTTTGCTCTGCTGTGCTGTCGCTCAGTTGTGTCTGACCCTCTGTGACCCCATGGGCCGTAGACCCCCAGGCTCCTGTCCATGGGATTCCCCAGGCAGGAAGACTGGAGTGGGTGGCCATGCCCTCCTCCAGGGGATCTTCCCAGCCCAGGGATCGAACCCGGTCTCCCTCATTGCAGTAGATTCTTTACTGAACCACTAGGGAAGCCTAAGAAGACTGGAGTAGGTAGCCTACCCCTTCTTCGGGGGGTCTTCCTGACCCAGGAAGGTGGATTCTTTACCAGCTGATCTACGAGGGAAGCCCCAGGGAATTTCCTAGCCACTATTAAGCCAAACACCTTACTAATCGAGATGTAGTAAAGTAACTGTCAATGACCTGTCCACTTATATCTCGTGCATTCATGTACAAGGATACGAGTGCTAAGTACAGTATATGTAGCAGTGTTGTGGAATGCTGAGTCAGGGATGGATGCAAGGGGAAAGAGAAACCAGCCCTGCTCTCAGGGAACTGAGGGGCTGGGTGGGGTGGCAAGGGGAAGGGGAGGTAGGCATGAAGATCAAACATGGCATGAAGACTCCAACTTCCTTTATGAGACTGAAACAGCAACAAAGCCTGTGCCGCTTGACAAGTGTTGACTTATCTAGGAACCAAGGTCAAGTGGAATATGGAAGGAATTTAAGTTGGAATATAGACTCTATTTTATAAGCTGTTATTCTCTGCAAATGCACTTCATTAAAAAACAAAAACAAAAAAAACACACAACAGAGACATCAGATGATCTAAGATTGTCACGATACTGTGATACTTTTCCCCTAATGAAACATTCCAATCTCTTATTTAATTGAATACATTTTGACTATTGGGGACTATTTCTTGGTTTGGAGCCCTGTAGCTAACATATCTTCATTTAAGAGATAAAGCATGTAAAAGACTGCTGAGTGTGACAAACTGTGTAAGTGTCAGATGTTTAAAAATACTAAGCTGCACTGAACCAGGGGTTCTCGTAGTATTGTCTATCTGCCAAATTTAATACCATATCATTTACACTTTACCAAATCACACCAAATATGACACAGAGACAATTTGTTTAAGAAAAGTTTTACTAATGTGTTAATATTTCAGCAAAGTTATTGCAACGGGTTGAAAAGGCAGACAGACACACTATTATAGGCTATTATAAAGTAACAAGTTATACAATTAAAATATTACATAGAACTATGGGATTTACTGAATAACTAACAGACTCATAAAAGAAATTAAATCTGAAAGGTTAAATCCAGTATTAGCACCTACAACATCTCTGAAAGTAAAACTTTTACCTGTTTCATTCTCTCCTAATACATGTCTTATCCTTCTCCCCAAAACAGTGCTCTCAAACCCCAATGGTGAAGGGTATGGGAAGTCCCAATGCTAAGAACATACAGCCAAAAAAAGAACTCCAAACAGTGACTCAGGACTTGACAGTTTTAGCTGGAAATCACTTATCTTACTGAACTTGAACCAATCATATATGTTTCTGTGCACAGAATACTGTATATGATAAAGTCTATGGATCATAAGGACTGCCAGTAGGGATAGTTAAAAATTAGCAATATACAGTATCATTCCTATCAAATTTTTTTCTCTTAAGTTACATTTATAACAAAACTATAATTAAAATATTTATTACACTTGCTCATTACACATTCAGGGACACAGCAGGGACATTTGAGTTTGATGGTTTAGCATCCACTTTATTGTGCTTACTTATTTTTATAAGGAACAAGCTACACATACCACATCTTCCCAATGTTCAAGGTGATGCAGTAATAATAGAATTCTAAAAAAAAACCCAAACCTGGAAAATGAATTAAATACTGCTTTAATTAGGAAATTGCTGTAATAAAACAAGTAACATAATACATCATTTTTCCAATGAGCTTCAGTTTGGGAAATTAAACAGCAGAACTAGATCTTTAAGCTTTGAGTCACAGCAAAACTGGTAGTTCTCTGAAATCTGGGCAATGTGTTAGCAAAACCAGACCCAGCCCACCCTTCACCAAAATCCTGGAGAAAAGCATTTCATGAATCTGGGGGGAGTAAGACTGAACACTGGCTAGGAAGCGACTTGCTGAAGCCCAAGGAATGATGAGAACAACTGGTACTGGTGGCAGGTGAGAAATAAACTGTGTGGGGCTGACCAACTGCATATTTTTTAATGGCTTTGAATGAAAAAAGTGAAATGCTTCACCACGTTTTCTCAGAAACTGATCAAAAGATTGCAGAGTCCTACACGATTTGGAGACACAAAGTGGATGCTGAGCGACTAGAGGTCACTCCAGGTGCGGAATTTTAGAAAGTCAGTCCTTGGAGTGAATGGCACCGTGGCTCTGGCAGCAGATACGAAGGAATGATGCTCTGGAGAGGAGGTAGGGGGGACACTCTGCGGTCGGCCGGTGGACAGGTGAGGGTCCCAGCTGGAGGTGGGATCTGCAGTTACAGGGAGAAGCAAAGGATTAGAAAGGGACACCGACTGACCTCCCAAGAGCAGCTGCTGTGACCTGCCAACATGTGGCTGCAACTCCATTAACACAGGCTCTGGCTACTGAGATGCCCAGCTCTGTCTCATCTGCCGAAAGGGGTCCGTGGCTCGAGGGTCCAGAGATCCAAGCCTGTACGTTTGCATCTCTAACCGGCCATGTCTCGAGAGGCAGCATAGCACAGGGGTGCGTGGCCAATCCAGGCCTGGCTGCCTCCTGTCTACCCGCCGGTTTGGGGCCCTGGACAAGTAACTGAAGTCCTCTGGGCCTCAGTCCCCTTGTCTGAAAAACAGGGACACTGCCGCGGACCTCAGAGGGTGTTGTGAATGATGCAGGCACACAGCAGGCACCCGCAAGCCCTGGGTGTTTTTATCATCACTTATTTATCGTGATAGATTAATGCTACATTCTGTTTTTTAAGTAAAGAAGACGATCTTAATCCGAAGAGAGAAAACAACCATCAGTTTGTTGAATAATTAAGGTATTGAAAAAATTCAAACTTTTTTAAAAGGAGCAAAATATAACGTTCTCTCTCTTTTTTTTAAAATAAAGGCCACCTCCATGATTTGTGTGCTCTTAAGTCATTAATTTTAATTTCCATATAATGCTCCAACCTGCAGACACCAAGTACACTTAAGAAAAATGACAGAACTGAATTCATTATTCTTAAAGAGTTTTCCCTTCTCCTCTAAGACCTCAGCCCACACAGGATCCCAGGTCTGAGGAACACACAGCTCTGAAAACTAAATTACACTGAACGAAAATATTTGCATTCATGAAATTACCACAAGTTCCTAATGTAAATCTCATTTCAAAATTTCACTGTTGTTGAATATTGATAGATTTGTCTCTGGTGTGCAATTGCTCCAAATCCCGCGCCACCTCAGAAAAACAGTGTATTAAAGCAATAAGAGCTGCAAAGTGAGTCATGACAAATGGGTTGTGCCAAGGCAGCACAGCTGCAACTGATCAAACAGACGTATGCCAGCAGCCCGTCACAGAAACCACACGGAGGGCTCCTGGCTGCTCGTCTGAGAAATATCAGTTTGCAAACCGCACGTGAGAGTGTGTGAACAGGTAACACTAAGGGCTCCCAAACAAAGCCTCAGTAAAGAATAAAACACATGGCAGAGGGTGTCATCATTTAGGTCTGTGGCTTGTAAGAACTCGGGGGACACATTCCCTAGAGCTCAGAGAAGGCAGCTGTAGATTAATAGCATTCAACAAATGGTACAGGGAAGACAGGATGTTATTTTTAAAAGGTACTGGAAAAGAAACGAAGGGGAAAAGCACCTAGAATAATGTGATGGACTCTTTTCTTTCTCCAGGTCTCTGCTGCTGCATGTACTTATAGGAAGTATGGTGTAAAGACAAGGTTTTATGGTCAATCAGACTCGGGTTCCTAACCTGGGACTCATTAGCTGTGTGACCTGGAGACTATCACTTAATCTCTTCCTGTCTTGGTTTGCTTATCTGTAAGGTGGGGGAAATACTGGGCAGGATTCTTGTGAGAACTGGAAACACTGTCTGTGTAACACCTAGCACACAGCCATGCCCTCAAAACAGCGGCAAGTGTCATTACTGTTACCCTGGGAAGGAGCCTGTCTGCTCCGGTTGAATCTGTTTCTGAGCGGCCCCCTGTGAGTCCGTGGGGACAGCTGCCTGCGGACACGGGCAGGACAGCACCCAACAGAACACCACTGGGAGGCGGGGCGTAGGGCGGGAACAGCAGAAATCGACAAATTTTTTGGTCACTTAGAAGGTAACGTGGCTTCCAGGTGATTCTTCCTACACATCCCCACCAGCATTCATCAATTTGTTGCTCAGCTGTTCAACGTCAGTATATGGATACGTGAGAACATGAACATTCTAAGGAGAATGAACATTTATGGTTCTACCCACTAGAGGTAAGGTTTCTTCTAAAGGGCTATGAAGCCACTTAGATACATGAAATATTTAGAATCTCCCTACTCTGAAATGTTTCTTTGGTTATTAAAGCCATTTGTCATGGCTGTAATAACAGGGAAATCTATCAGGGAAAAAAATGTCAGGGAAATCTCCGAACTGATTTTTATGTGTAAGACCCATCTATTAAAATGTCCAGGATAGTTTTGAAATATTAAAATAAGACCCTCTCTCCAAACTCCCAAAACAAAGTAATAACAAAACCAGTCTGAAAACAACAAAGGGGGAAGAAAAAAAATCAGGATTAAACTATCACTTGGGTTAACAGAATTTGGGTTAATGGCACATTTTAAGTATCAAGTCAGTACAAAGAGTATGCCAGTATTTATAACGCAGGTGAGAAAATTTACGCATCCTACAAAATTACAAAAATGGCACATAAATCATATAATTTCATATTTACCTTTAATTCTATGGTTTATCTTCCACTGCTCATGCCTCTGTCTTCATAAATGGTAATTTCAATCTAAACAGCATGGCTGTTAAGAAAACACACTAGAGAGCAGAACACAGAAAAAGGGACTATGGGGAGAAGATGGGTATGATCTCTGCGGACTTGTCTTTACTTACTTAAAAAAAATTTTTTTTTTTTTTTGGCTGCACCTTGCGGCATGTGGGATCTTAGTTCCCTATGTGGGGCTGAACCTGTACCCACCGACTGGAAGCTCGGAGTCCTAACTGTTGGACCACTAGGGAAGTCCCCCTGTCTTTACTTATTTTAAATTACCATTTAAATAATTTTAAATTATTACTTAAGTAATTAAAATAATTGTTATTTGCCTTGTTTCAAATTATTAAAAATTTCTCTCGCTTAAGTTAAACATGGTGTTTTCCACATCTTGCTGAAAAATTTAAGAAATGTAATTGCTTGTGGTATACCACAGAGCTCCTCTCCAAACACTATTTTTTAAAAGGAAAAAAAGAATCTGAAAAAGGACAATTTACTGCAGAACTAAGGGGAGGGGGGCTCTTAACTGAGCATCCATAGTGAAGCAATGATGTCAGGGGTTCAAAACACCCTGAAATTGTATGCAAACTTTTTCTTGGGAGAGAGCTCATGATCTCTAAAAGTTTAAGAAACACTGCTACAAGTATAATAAAACTGTTAAAATTATTATCAGCTGGAAGGCCTGGGATTATCTGACCTAGGTTTTTTTAAAAAAAAAATTATTTTATCCAGTTTTTTATTTTACTCGTTATCAAGCTAAATTATTATTATTTTTTGTGCAATTTTATTTACCAAATTACCAAAATAAACTGCTTGATTTTCAAAGTCAACTGCCTCTAAAATATGCACAGTTATGTCAAAGGTAATGAAATGATACATCTGGCAGCTGTAACTGATCTCAACGAGTCAGATGAACCCACGGAGCTGCGATTTATTTGGACGCCGAGCTCTCCGCGCACCGAGTTCATGCATTTCAAAGGGGCCTTTGGTGCAGCCTCTGCAGCTGAGATGCATGACTCACCCCACTCCCATTATTACTACAAGATGCTGCACAGCCACCAGGACTAAGACAGCCCCGACACTAAACTCTCCCGAGACCAGCACGGCGCGCGGGAAGGAGTCGTGCTGGAGGGAGAGTGTGCCTTCCGGCAGCAGAGCCCGGGGCAGGTGCGGGGACGGAGAGAAATTCTCTCTAGCCAGGGCCGACGGGGCCATCAGATGTTTAGACCTTATGATCTGGACTGAAAAGATACAACTCGCAGTCCTCTCTCAATGGGATCTGTCAGGAGGAGGCCTTGGGGGGCGTAGATCTTCTCATTCTGCTCTTGGATGTATTTGGAGACTTTCTTCAGGACCTGACCAAAGAGAAACAACACAGCTCTCTTATCAGCTTCATCAGATTTTCCTTGTGAGTATTCAGCTGAACTTCAAAATATTTAGGCAGTGGAATTAGTTTTCAAAGCAAGACGTGGGTGTTCACGTGGAGGGACAGCTCTTGACTCTGTGGCTCATGCCCTGGGTCCCCAACACCGTCCCCCCCACCCCCCATCCTCCAGTCCTGAGCACGTCCATATAACCTAAGTCCAAACAGAGATGCAGCCACGTGGCGGCACAAGAGCCACGCCCCTTCCTCCTGCCCCTTCCCTCCGTCCTGGATACGGAGAAATGTGGAGGTGACCACAGACATACATGTTACGTGCCTTCCCCTTCCCTACTCAGGAAATGTGACATGTGACCTCCTCTAATATCAGGGACAGCTTCTGGCTTTCTCTTTCTCCTGGACACTTAAGAGATGCTTCTCGGGACTTCTCTGCAGTCCAGTGGTCAGGACTCGGCGCTTTCACTGCTGAGGGACCATTTGAATGCCTGATCGGGGAACTAAGATCCCACAAACTGTAAGGCATGCACACACCCCCACACCCCTCCCCCCACCACGACCAAAGAAAAAGAAAGAACTGCTTTCTCCGCTGTACATTTCCATCAATTTAAAGTCACAATACAAAGCGGGCCTATAACAAAGGGAGTCCAGTGCATTTAAAACTCAAAAATCTGTTTCCTTCATCGAGCACGCTTGTGCTGGCTGCCATGGAGGTTCTGGGGGTCAGGGTTTCACATCATCTCCTGGCCTGCATGGGAGGCTGCTCTGCAACCTGCTCTTGTGTCCTAGATGGGAACCTCAATTTATAAGTTTAGTATTAAGGTTGTAAATGTCAAAGCAAATGTAGACAAAAACCAGATAGGATAAAAAGGAACTTCTGGAAATTGCCAAGTCTTAAGCTTTATTAAGGGCAATTCTGAGACAGATAACCTAGAAGAAAATAAATCTTAATAGCGATACACAAAATCAAAGAGTCACATGTTTTATTTCAGATTCAAGGTCATTATAATCCTTTGCTGGCTCTAATCTTCAAAGAGGCTTTGATCCAATTCTTTAATTACTGTATGTTTCCTTAAATTCACACTACCAGAATATGATAAAGTCGCAGATAAATGTGATCACAACTTAAAGGGAAAAGAAGAACTGTATGAAAATAAAGCTGGAAATGAAGAAATCTGATTTAACTGTGGGTCTATAATGTACCAGGCCAAACCAACATATTAGAATGATAAAATGTAGCTGCTTTGGCATAAACTGATTCAGAATTGAAAACTATGCTGTTTATATAATGGATTTTCTCATTGAAGGACAATAAACAGTCTATTCAGGTTACATCTCTGGGGAATAATACAATCTCATGTTTTACGTTTTTTTAAAAAGAGCATGATTTTATTAAAAGAGCCATCTGCAGGATTATGAAGTAATGTAAGAATACTATTTCTAAAGAAAAGACTTTTTCACCTGATTTCCTAAAGTACGTATGTCATTCTCCTATTTTCAACTCTCAAAGAATTTGAGCAGTGCCTGGTCTTTATGAGCAAAAAAAAAAAAAAAAATCTCAGTCACTCTCTTTCCACCTGCATCTGTCAATCATGCTAAAATCATGCTAAAAAGAGGGGAAGGAAGTCACCCATGAAGGTGCCCAACTCAGGATTCTCCCTCTTCTCTCCAATTTCCTTCTGTGCTCACCTGCCAGAGCTGGAAGCCGGAGAGCCGGGCTCCCCTTGCCCTGTCCATTTACACTGGGGGGACAGTGTGAAACCAGCCGGCATGGCTGGCTTCAAAGAAAGGATTCCTTCACACAGCTCTCCTCCCCTCCTCGAGTACAGGTTGTTAGCAAAGACACAGCCATCCTTTATTAAATCCAAGCATAACTCTGTCGTGCAAGGCTTTTGTTTAAACTTTGATAACACTCATGGACACTTGGGTTTCAGTTCAGAAAGAAGACAACCAGCTTTCCTTGGATACCAGCTGCAAATGCTCCTACAGCACTGCAGTGAAGACAGCGCCGTGCTAACCCAGATGTGTTGTTAGCAACAGACAACTCACGGACGTGAGTCAACTCGCACCTCACTCCGGACAGGACAGAGCACCATTCTCACCCTCAAGGAACTGTGTGTTGATGTTTTATTCATTCTTCACTATTATTAGTAAATCATTGTTAAAACAAACTATAATACTGCGCAAAATTATCTCTGTTACCTTCAAACCTGCAATAAAAACTGCGATTTGTATAGTATTTACAAAGCTAAACACTCAGACAAGGCAATAGTCCTCTTTGAGAATAAGCCTCTCAAAGCCCTCAAGGAAAGATAACCGAAGTGGGGTTGAGTGAGAGGCCCAGAGGCTTAGTGCTTCCAGAAAGCTCTGAGTTCCTCTGACTGTGCTCTTTTCAGATCACAGCCCATGGGCAGCAGGGACGTCTCTGGTGGACAAACCCAGCAACTGCTCCTGAAAGAAGGTTCCACAGGCCCGTTTGTTCCCTGATTATAATGGGCGGCAATGGAGAGGAATAACACTGAAGCCTTTATCTTCATTGTAAATCAATAAATAGCACATTATAGGAAGAAAAAAAAAGCATAATTGTTCTAGTGGGTTTTAAAAGGCCTATTTACAATCTAAAAAAATTTAACCCACGTGACACAGTGTAAGTGTCATTATACTTGGCTTACTGTTTGTAGACTGGAAGTTTTAGTGTTTAAAACAATAAAGACTAAATGACTCAATTTTGTCCCTTCATAAAGTAGAAAATAATAGCACAGGAATTCCTAAGGGGCAAACTGGAGAGAGGGAGTGGCTGAGTGCTCTAACATTTTTATCATCTTATCAAAAATACAAATACACATTTACAATGTTTTCTTTTAAAAGTACATGGAGATTATATCTTTATTATGACCATTCCAGTTATGTACTTTGCATGATATAGTTAATTCATGTCCAAATTTCTAATATAAAATCACATATTTATAAAATGTGCCATAAATTTGGGTTTCTTGACTGATTTTATTGGGTCTTTATTTGCTTTATAATACTTACTCTGTAAAAGAGACCTTAATTAGACCTGTAAAATAATACCTTATATGTTACTTATGAACTCAAGTCCATTATTTTCTGATGTTGAGAACTGCCTTCCAAAATTAATAATCAAATAATAATCAAAAAAGATTTTAATTGAGTTGCTAAATGTTTTAGTAGATAAAGAAACTAGCAGCTGCTAAAAAAAGATTACTTAAACACTTACACATTCAAGGTAAAAAAAAAAACCTGTACATGTAAGCGCACACGTATCTGATTAAAACATATATACACACACGCTAACTTGACTTTTAAGTCTAAGATATCTTAAGAAAACTTTATTTAGCACCTGCCATATGTAAGGCAATTTATTAATGCAAAGATCCATTATATTTGTTTTTTGGAATTACCTTATTGTTTTTTTAAACAATGTTGTGTTAATTACTGCCAGACAGCAGAATGACTCAGTTACACATGTACACACGTTCTCTTTCATATTCAGGTCCATGATGGCTTCTTTCCTATGTCTCCTGGTCTGCTTCTGCTAACACCCACCCCCACTCCTTGGCAACCACCAGCCTAAGACCCACTTACAACTGAGAACTCAGATTTGGGGAGATGAACCTGTCCATGACTCATAACTAGGAAATGACCTGGCTGGCACCCAATTATCAGTTTCTTTTTAAAACTGATGCCAGAGGCAGGTATCTGTTATCTATTTTAGCAAAGGCACACACAAAAATAAGTTAATTAAAATCTTATCAACAAATTTAAAAACTACAGTGAAATAACAATTCAAGCATGTAATATTTCATGAGGCGTGAATAAAACCCTCTGGAGGATGTATTTCTGCCTGAGGTTGACAATATCACGCGTCTTTGACAGCCACGTGGCCTGCCTGTCTTACCTGCACCAGCCCGGCCCGCCCGGCCCACCCCCTCCGTGGCCAGTGGCTCCTCAGCGTGCCCGGCTCCTCCTCCACCACCTCGCCCCCTGAATCCGCTCACCTCCTGCCGTCCCTGCCGCTCCCTCCCTGCCCAGGCTCTCCTCCTCTCCTGCTGAGCTTCTACGAAGGGTCTTACTCGCACTTTTATACCTTTCTTCCCCAGAGCCAAGAAATCTGTTTCAAGTGAAAATCAGATCCTACCACCCTACTGCCTGAAAAGTTGCAGTGATCCTTCCCTGCCTGGAAATAAAATCTAAGCCTCTCTCCGTGGAGCACACACTCCACGGGGCAAGACGCAAGTCCCCTCACCTCTCCCATCACCTCCGCCCTCCCCTCCTCCGCATGGGGGACCCACGCTCTGCACATCCTCCTCCGTCCTCCTGAAAGGCCCCAGGCTCCCCATCCTTCACATGGCAGCTAAATGTTAGCACCCCAGAGGCCCTTTCTGACCACCCCATCTAAATTAGTCTTTCTGGTTATGTTCTATCCTAGGGAAGCTTGGTTTTTTTTCCAAGGCATTTATCACAACTTACAATTCTGTGGGCTTTGTTTCCTTAGGATCAGTTTTTACCAGACTTATAAATTCCACAACATCAGTAACCATGTGTGCCCATTCGGTTATATCCTCTGCACAGTGCTTAGCACAGAGTAGGTGTTCAATAAATATTAATTGAATGGATCCTGCATCCCTTCACTCACCAAAAGTATCACTAAAGAGAAGCTGCTAAGACAAAACAGACTGAAAGCGGATACGGATCCTTTGTGACTTCTGATGTGGAATGTTAAGCAGGAAAGAACGTGTGTGACATGGAGAAGGACATAAACTACCTGTTTAGCTCTTTAAATGTTCACCAGGGGGCTCACATCAGGATGGCAAGGAAGAACACAGCAGCACGTTCAGCCCACGGCTCAAAATACTGGAGCCCCACCTGGGTCCGCTCTCCACCACGTGGAGTGCAAGACAGTCACGGGGAGACGTCGGCCGGGTGGGGGTGATACTAAGCTCCTTAGAGCCTTCCCTTTCTAAACGTGGTCATATCGGGATGATCTACTAGGGCTCTACTGTGATTAATGTACATCCATTCATTTCACACACACGAATGCCTCCTGCGCCCAAGGCCTCGTGCTAGGCATCAAGAGAGAGACACTGTCCTTGATCGGAAGGAAAACACACACTCGACGGGCAAGTAAGACGGGAATATAAATGCTACATTCCTCAGCAGAGAGTGCTTAAGCGCCAGAAAACAGATTCCAGTAAAGCGCTGTGGGGACAGAGCGGAGAGAAGGAACCCAACTAGGAGAACGGGTGAAAAGCCAGCTGAAAGGGGGACGAGGACTGAGGCAACCCGGAATGGGAAGGGCATTTCAGGGGGAGGAAGACTTCTCGGAGGGTGCGCCTGGCCGAAACACAAAGTGAGGACGGGGCGAGAGAGGGCTGGGAGGGGCTCGCGCAGGCCCCTCACGCTGCAGGAGGGGCACGGCTGTGTTTCCCGACACTGCAGCTGTTTGGAAATGGAGGAGGAAAGAGGGGAGGCAAGGGGGGGAAAGAGGACCTGGGGCTGTGGTGTTGGTCTGGGAGAGATGTCACAAGGGCACAAACAGGTGTCACAAAGTTCATGAATGGGAAAACGGAAGACAGCTCGGTCTGACTACTGATACAATCTCCCTCTTCTCGACCCCTACCTGAAAATGCTGGGCGAAAAAGAGGGGGTGCCACTGAACCAAGTGGGGAGTGAGAGGCTTGACTTTTGGACCCCGGAGTTCAGAAGCCAGCAGCTCTGGGTCCAGCAGACAGTTCAAAGGGAAGACAAGGACTCAGGTGGGAAGAGAAGATGGAGGATAGAAATTGGGGAAATAAAAACTCAGTACTCTTCTATGTGTCTGGTCGTAGAAGCAACAAAAAAATCTGAATTATTATTACTGTAAAAGGCCCTTTAAATTTTATAGCAAGTGTCACCATGTAAACATAACCTGTAACAAACCTTTTTTTTTTTTTTAAATGATTGTAAGACATTGGGAAAACACAGGTAGGCTTACCTTCTCATAGTGAGTTTCCATGCACAAGAAGATGGTGTACGCTGTTAGACAAGCCAGGCAGCCTTCCAGATACGACTGGCCCCCAAGCTTCTCGGCCTCGGCATAAAGGTTATTTAGGGTCCGAACTGTTTCTTCAAATTGCTGCCGATCAATCTGTACAGAGAAAAGAATTTTAAAATAAGTTCTGAAAAAAAAAAAAGATGAACACCTCATTCCTGCTTTCGATCCCTAATTAGGTCACTGTTTTGTCAACATTCTTATCTGTCGGCAAACAAAATTTTAGGTGATTAAATCTGGATCTAAGTTGCTGAAACTGGTTAGTGTTTGTTTAGTTTCATCTTTCTTTTGGACGCTGTGTTATGTCCAGGCTGAAAAGGGTGTCTCCCGATCCTCTGTGCTGAATCACAAGTAACTTAATTAAAGAACACAGTCCTTCCGGCCCTCCATTTTCCCACATTCACATTTACAGAGCTCGTAGCATCGAGTATCACCACAGGCCTTGGAGAAAGATGAGTAAGGCACTGACTTGTCCTCACGGCATTTACAGTCATGAGAGTAACAGACACGGACAGTGGAAACACAAGAAGCCAACAGAACGCTGTGACTGCGGCGTGTGTGAAGTATGTGGGGGCACCCAAGGAGGGGCGGCATGCTCCCCTTACCCGGAAAGGGCAGGTGATCTTAAATCGTGGTCCCTAAATGCCGGCATCGACTTAGGCCAAAAGGGGAGTAAGGACACTCTCAGCAGATCAGAAGGGGCACACTCGGTATGATCTCCCATCTCTTCGACAGTAACTACTTGGTTACTAAGAGCTCGCACTGGAAAAGGCAAAATCTCCCACTACCGCAGGGCTCTTCTCACCAAGGACGCCTGTGACCTTTCTCTAGTCCATGACGCCATCACCTAACACGTGTACTAACACGACTGTCATATCTCCTTTTCTCTGATCACCTACTTTCACTTTCTTCTTCCAGTATCCCTTTCCTTCCTTCTTTTAACAGTACTTTGTCAATTTCAAACCTCCATGGGAATTTCAAGGCCCATGGTAGAGCATTTCACCCAATTCTATCATTCTCGGTAGGTAACAAAGCCCAACTTACCTGTCCTTATCCTCAGCCTGCTCTCACACAGTATCCCCCTTATTCCTAAAACTAATACCCACTTACATAGTAATTCTTTCCTTTATGCAGGCTTTACATAGAAGCAGACTCAGAAAGAAACTCCAAGAACCTTAATATACACTTTGAGACAGAACATTTCTGAATTTCCAAAACATTTCCAAAATTATGCTCCAAGAACATAATTCTCTGTTAACAGATGATCAACCTTAAGCTATTAAAAAAACTTTAGGTAAGAGGCAGCTGCCTTGTCCTTCATGTGGAAAATGGTGAAGATTCAATGAGTCAAAGGCATGAAAATCTTAAAGTGGTGGTGACTCAACCTGCCTTTTAAAAGGAGCTACTTTAAATCTCCCAGAACAGGACTGTTTCTGACGAGGGCTGGGTGGGTGTGGACAGAGCTGGGAGCCAGGGCCGCCACTTGAAGATGTGCTGTGTCACTAATGGTCACCTGGGCAACATGTCACCATTCCCAGAACACAGTCTTAGAGGAGAACTGCTCAGTGAACAAGTGTTGACGGTAAATTGTTATCTCCACCTGGTTCTCCCAAAGTTAATGTCTTCTGCTTGCTCATCAGTAAAACCATGAAAGTCCAAATAATTTCAAACATTCGCACTTGATTTATCTACAATGTTATGATCTGAGAAAGAAACTTCTCTGAATTATTTATGTTTCTTTGGACAGAATGATTAAAAACTAGGCGATCCAACCCAGAAACTTTTTTTTTTTTTTTCGCCACACCAGGTGGTCTGTGTGAACTCAGTTTCCCAACCAGGGACTGAACCTGCGTCCCCTGCCTTGGAAGCGCTGAGTCTTAACCACCAGACGGCCAGGCAAGTCCCCAACCCAGAAACATTTGATTTCTTTCTGATCTGGAATTACAGATCCTACCAGAAACACTAATTCTTAAAAGTTATTCCACGACTGCAATGATTTACAGGATGGAGGCAAATCATAAACCATTTTTTAAAAAATTTAAAAATCCAAGGTGAAGATTTTTTTTAAGTTTAATTTAAAAACAAACCATTTTTTAAAAAATTTAAAAATCCAAGGTGAAGATTTTTTTTAAGTTTAATTTAAAAACAAACAAAAAAAAAGTTGGGAGTTCCCTGGCAGTCCAGTGGTTAGGTTTTGGCACTTTCACTGCCGAGGGCCCGGGTTCAATCCCTGGTTGGGGAACTAAGATCCTGTATGCTGTGCAGCATAGCCCCCCAAAAAAGGCTAAAAAAAAAAGTTAAAGTTTCTCGGAAAGCTTTAAAAAAAGCATGAGAGGCAGCAGTAAAGGCAAGGACACACAACATGAAGGGCTCTGCAGGGCAACCCAGCCTTGCTCGCACGCCCTGCAGGCTCCACGAGGCACGGCTGTCAGCGGTCCCCTCTGGGTACCTGGACACTGACACAGCAGCTATACCGGCATCTGGAGGTTTGTCAAGTTGGAGCTATGTGGACCAATAAACAGTGGAAGTCTGAATGGAAATAGGAGTCAGGCTCGTCTCCCCAGAATTTTTGTTTCGTGTTGAACTACCTGCCGAAAGCGTCAGGCTGAAGCTTATCAAAGATAACAAGTCAGAGGTAATTTCTACTGACCGGCTTGTAGAGACATAGTTTTAAAGGGATGTAGGGAACAAATGCCTCAATTATAGCTCACTCACTTCTCTTTCTGCCCACACCAAGGGTTCCTAAGATGTCTGTATGCTGGCTAAAGTTAAGAATCGAGCTTTCCTTTAAAGAAATGTGGCGACAAAGTGCTTACACATCAAAGTATTACGTTCTCAGAGGCAGTGAGAAAGTAAACTTGTTAACACACAGAACTTGTTCTTACTCCCAAATTAAAGGGTACAAATGTGTGTGTGTTTAATGCTTTAAAGTCATACAAAACAGCTGTATGTTTATTTCTCTTTCTATTACATTGCCAAGTACGAAGTTCTCACAAAGGGAAACGCAGCCTCAGTGGCAGCACAATCAGTACAATTTCTAGGTTAAGCAGTAGAGAAACAAAGAAAGAAACCTTTCAATTTTCCATCAAACAAAGCAAGGAAAATTTAAACCTGTAATTTAAATTTAATCTCAACACACTTTAAGAAAAAAATCAAAGCTTTCCCAAACAGTTTAAAGTATAAGCTAGTGTTTTAACCCAAACATTTAAAAAGAAAAAAAAAAACTTCAAGGGTAGCTCAGCTGATAAAGAATCTGTCTGGAATGCAGGAGATCTTGGTTCAATTCCTGGGTCGGGAAGATGCCCTAGAGAAGGGATAAGCTACCCACTCCAGTATTCTTGGGGTTCCCTGGTGGCTCAGATGGTAAAGAATCTGCCTGCAATGTGGGAAACCTGGGTTTGCTTCTTGGGTTGGGAAGATCCCCTGAAGAAGAACATGGCAACCCACTCTAGTATTCTTGCCTGGAGAATCTCCATGGACAGAGGAGCCTGGCGGGCTATATTCCATGGGGTTGCAAAGAGTCTCACACGACTGAGCGACTAAGCACACACACACACACATAGTACTCAGAACATAAAATAAAGGCTCCACCACACACAGAGTTGAAGGCTCAAGTCTGATTCTGCATAAATAGACTTGGCTCAATTATGAGTTGGAAGTTTGACTTTTAAATCCTTTAAACAAAGCATCAAGTGACATCCAAACAAGTGTGGGGCAAAAGAGTTGTTTACATTCTGATCTGAAAGCACATAAACAGTATTAAGTCAGAGTTTCCCTAAGAGACTTAAAAGTGAAACATTTGATCTATTTCATATAAGTACTAAAAAAGCCTGTTAACTGTAATGCTAAATTATTTAAAAAACCACATTCAGTAGCTCTAGCCAACAGGCAACTTGCTCAATTTCTATCTTCTCAAACCACCACAGAGGTGTCTAGCTAGTGTCAGGCTGAGTTATCTCCTAACGTGGCGACAACAAACTGCAACAATTACAGGACATTTCACAAACTAATCTACAAATTATCTTTATAAGGTGTGCTGGGTCCTTAATTTGCATTTAAAGAAACATACTTGGGCCACTAACCTGCTGAGGGTTCTAAATCAAGCCAAAGCACACTGTCATTGATCTTTGTTGATCTTCCCACCTTGGCAATCGGGTAGAACGACCTACCCCGCCACAAGCTAATTTTAAGTGACTGCTGCACATTGCTCCAGGACATGCTCATCAACACCTGCCTACTCCACAGCCAGCACTTCACAGCTCCACACCCATGCCCAATCACCCCTGACGCCCTCACCCTCTTGTCAAAGAAGAAAGAACTACAAAACCTGCTCCCATCTAACCAGAAGTGGACCTCTGAGCAGGAAACAACAGTCAGGTTCAGGTTACAAACCTCAAGACCAGTCTGTCTTTGGGTGTGTGAACACACCTAGGCACAAGAAAACACATACATAGGCTCACTTCGCTGCACCTTTACAGTATGATCCAACGACCATTATTATTGTTTTTACTAAGTCTGAAAAAAGGAGATACACCCCTTCCTGAGCGCAAGACCGCCCAAAGGACCCACATTCTGATGACAGTTCTGACCCACAGGCCAACAAAAGCCGGCTCCCAGCGATAATCAGCACGAGGAACCAGTTGAAGGCCTCGTTCTGAGTTTATTTCCTTGTCCAGACCCATGCACTGATGTTTTTCAAGGTTCGGAGAAGGCCTGTCTGCGCTGCCCAGCACAGCACCGAATAATAAACCAGCACAAGCGGCGGGATGCCCGACACTTGAATGATGGTGATCTTTGCGTGGTGGGGTTGGAGAATGCAGCTTACACAACACGCGGAGGTGGGTGGCCGGGAGGGTCAGGAATCAAGCGCCTCATCACTGAGGTCAGTAACCCGGGATGGGGTGGGGTGGACGGCGGCGTACCGATTCCGGCCCTGGCCATCATCAGGTCATCCGGCACGGCGGCTTGGCCTCATTCCTCCTGCTCCCGACACCGGGTCTTGCTTACCAGCCCCCTCCTGGCACAGCCCTGGCCCAGGCCCCTGCTGTGCCCGGCCCCTCCCGGACCCGCACCCCACCGTCGCCCTGGCCCCAGAGCAGGTGCGGGGAGCCCGGCTGCGTACCCGGTTCTCCAGCTCCGCGGGGAACTTGGTCTGGAACTGGCAGCGGGTGCCACTGCTGTAGTCTCGCTGAATGAAGACCTTCCCGGACACCGGCGCCTGCTGCGGCCTCATGGCGAGGACAGGACGGGCCGCGCTGCGGGTTCGGGGGACACCAACCACGGTCATACCCCCGGCCTGGACCCAGGACTACGGCCCGCCAGCCCCGCAGACCCACCCAGCGCCCAGAGCGGCCCAAGGCCTCCCGGCCCCACTCCCCTTCACCCATGCTGGCTCCACGGCCCTTCAGCTCCCTCCCCGACCCAGGCCCCGCGCCCCCCCACAGCCCGGTTCGGCCCGGGAAACACGAACCCGCCTCCTCTGCCCTCCAGCTGCTGTCGCAACGCCTACGCCGCCACTTACGTCCTGCCGCAAAAGGCCTCTTTTCCACCCAACCCCTCCCCGCCCCTCTGCTCGAACATCTACCTCAAGTCTAGGATCCACCCTCTCCTCCGGCCGTAAAGCGATCCTGTCGAGACTGAGCGCTACCGTGCGGGGACGCGCTGTGGGCGGGGCCCTGGCGGACTCCGCCCCCCGCCCTGCCCGTAGGAGTCCGGCTTGAAGGAAGAGGCCAGGCGGGGCTGCGGGGCGGGAGCTGGGGCGGGGCCTCAGGCCCGGGGGGGGTGGGACTGCGGGCCCCGGGGGCGGGGCCGCAGGATCCGCTGTGCCTGGCAGCGGGGAGAACGGTGCAGACTGAACTCTCCAGAGGGTTCTTGGCCTGTAGGCTGGGGATTTCTGCTCTGTGTCATTTCCCTGCTGTGTCATTTTCTCGTTCGTCGTGCGGACAGAGTTTCTAATCACTGACTGTAAGGTTTTATTTTCGCTTTTGATTGGAACTCTCAGTTGACACGTACAAAACAAACCGCTCACACGCATCCCCTCCTCCAGCTTTCCTGGAGGTGCTGTCTTTTCCTTCCAGCCCAAGATTTTCATCCAGCACCCCAGCCTCCACCCCTCACGTGACCTGAGAGGCTTGTGTGGGCCCTTGGCGCCCTCCCCAAGCTCAGCATACCTTTACAAGGCAGCCACAGAAGGCCCTGGTGTGTCTGGCTGATACTATTCCACCTTATCCTCTGCTTTGCTTTCGCAGGTTTCAGTTACCACCTCTCCCTCCAGTCAGCTTCAATCTGAAAAGATGAAATGGAAGTTTCCAGAAATAAACAATTCATGTTTTAAATTGTGTGCCTATTCTGAGTCAGTTCAGTTCAATCACTCAGTCCTGTCTGACTCTTTGCGACCCCATGGACTGCAGCATGCCTGGCTTCCCTGGCCATCACCAACTCTCAGAGCTTGTTCACATTCATGTCCATCAAGTCGGAGATGTCATCCAACCATCTCATCCTCTGTCATCCCCTTCTCCTCCTGCCCTCAATCTTTCCCAGCATCAGGGTCTGTTCCAGTGAGTCAGTTCTTCACATCAGGTGGCCAGAGTATTGGAGTTTCAGCTTCAGCATCAGTCCTTCCAATGAATATTCAGGACTGATTTCCTTTAGGATGGACTGGTTGGATCTCCTTGCAGTCCAAGGGACTTTCAAGAGTCTCCTCCAACACCACAGTTCAAAAGCATCAATTCTTTGGCACTCAGCTTTCTTTATAGTCCAACTCTCACATCCGTACATGACTACTGGAAAAACCATAGCTTTGACTAGACGGATCTTAGTTAGTAAAGTAATGTCTCTGCTTTATAATATGCTCTCTAGGTTGGTCATAACTTTTCTTCCAAGGAGCAAGCGTCTTTTAATTTCATGGCTGCAATCACCATCTGCAGTGAGTTTGGAGCCCCCCAAAATAAGGTCTGTCACTGTTTCCATTGTTTCCATCTATTTGCCACGAAGTGATGGGACCAGATGCTGTGATCCTAGTTTTCTGAATGTTGAGTTTTAAGCCAACTTTTTCACTCTCCTCTTTCACTTTCATCAAGAGGCTCTTTAGTTTTTCTTTGCTTTCTGCCATAAGGATGGTGTCATTTGCATATCTTAGGCTATTGATATTTCTCCCGGCAGTCTTGATTCCAGCCTGTGCTTTGTCCAGCCTGGCATTTCTCATTATATACTGCATAGAAGTTAAATAAGCAGGCTGACAATATACAGCCTTGATGTACTCCTTTCCCGATTTAGTGTGATGAAATCTCTTGCTGTTGGCTCTATCTCTTTGGGATTTCCCAATCATCCACCTTCACCACTGACATCCAGTCACTCACACAATCATGATCCAGGTTTACCTGAAACAGACGATCCTCTGACCTAGTGTCAGAAGTTAATACAGCCTAAGGCTATATCACAATGCCTACGTCATTCATCTCACTTCCTCTCCTCACATAGTCACCTTATCATCTCGCATGATCATAAGAGGACGGTGAATACAGTACAATAAGATATTCTGAGAGACCACATTCACTCAATTTTCATTACAATATACTATCATTATTCTATTATTATTAGTTGGGGCTTCTTTGGTGGCTCAGATGGTAAAGAATCTGCCTGTAGTGCGGGAGACCCAGGTTCGATTCCTAGGTCAGGAAGATCCCCTAGAGAAGGGAATGGCAACCCACTCCAGTATTCTTGCCTGGAGAATCCCACGGACAGAGGAGCCTAGCAGGCTCTGGGGTCACAGAGACCAGACATGCGAACATGACTGAGCATTGAACACTTCCACTTTCATTATTATTAGACATTGTTGTTAATCTCTTACTGAGCCTAATTTAAAAACTAAACTATATCATAGGTATGTGTGTGTAGGAAAAAACGGTATATGTGGGGTCTGGTACTATCTTCAGTTTCGAATATCCACAGAGGGTCTTGGAATGGATCCCCTTGGGTAAGGGGGACCACTGTATAACTTGTTAGCACCACTATCTAACATATATTTAAATATTTCTCCATTGTCTTTTTTTTTTTTCCTATTGTATTTTAAAAACAGCTTTCAGTTCAGTTCAGTAGCTCAGTCGTATCTGATTCTTTAAGATCCCAGGGACTGTAGCATGCCAGGCCTCCCTGTCCATCACCAACTCCCAAAGTTTACTCAAACTCATGTCCATCCAGTCGGTGATGCCAGTCAACTATTTCAGCCTCTGTCATCTCTTTCTTCCCTTCTCCCCTTGCTTTCAATCTTTCCCAGCATCAGGGTCTTTTCCAACGAGTCAGTTCTTTGCATCAGGTGGCCAAAGTATTGGAGTTTCAGCTTCAGCATCAGTCCTTCCAATGAATATTCAGAACTGATTTCCTTTAGGATGGACTGGTTGGATCTCCTTGCAGTCTAAGGGACTCTCAAGAGTCTTCTCCAACACCACACTTCAAAATCATCAATTCTTATGTGCTCAGCTTTCTTTACGGTCCAACTCTCACATTCATACATGACTGCTGGAAAAACCATAGCTTTGACTAGACAGACCTTTGTTGGCAAAGTAATGTCTCTGCTTTTTAATATGCTGTCTAGGTTGGTCATAACTTTTCTCCCAAGTTAGGGAAGAATAAATAGCATACAATAAACTGGAGGTATCTAAAGCAGACAAATTGAAAAGTTCTAACTTACCAACTGTGTATACAGCTGTGAAACCTTTGCCTTAATCAAGATAGAGAACATTCATCACTTTCAAACGATTCCCAGAGCTCCTTTGTGATCCCTCCTTCCCATCCCTCCCCAGTCTCTTTCCCCAGGCAGTGATCTGGTCCCTCAGTTCAGGAGTCCCCAACCCCCTGTTAAGAACCAGTCTGCACAGCAGGAGGTGAGCTTCATCTGCCGCTCCCCATCACTAGCATTACTGCCTGAATCATCTGCACCCACTCCAGTCCACGGAAAAATTGTCTTCCGTGAAACCGGCCCCTGGTGCCAAAAAGGTTGGGGGCTGCAGCCTGAGTTTGCATTTTCTTGAATTTCATAGGAAATGAATCCTACAGTGTGTACTTATGCTAATTATTCTGTAATTCACCTGTTGTGTTGGCAAGAATTAATTCCTCTTTGTTGCTGGATCACATTCCATTGTAAGGATACATTGTATGGATAGCTTGTTATTCATTCTTCTGTTGATAGGCATTTGGGTCACTTCCTGTTTTTGGCCATTACATGTGAAGCTGCTGTTGGACATTCTTCTGCAAGTCTTTGTATAGATGTATGTTTTCATTTCTCTTGGGTAAATACCTAGGAGTAGAACATCTGGAGAGTGGATAAGTATATGTTTAACTTTTCAGGAACCTGCCAAACTGTTATCCAAAGTTGGTTGTATCGTTTTACATCCCTACCAGCAGAGGATGAGGGTTCCAGTTTCTCCACATCCTTGCCAACACTTGGGCTGTGGTATCTCCTTGTGGTTATAACTTTAGTTTTTCTCTGACTAATGATTCTGAACATCTTTTCATGTATTTATTTGCCATCCATACATCTTTTTTGATCATGTATCCGTTCAGATCTTTTGCCATTCTTTATTTGTGGCTGTTTTCCTATTATTGAGTTTTGAGAGTTATTTATATATTTTAGAGAAAACTCTTACATCACACATACAGTTTGCAGTCATTTTTCCCGTATTCTGTGGCTTGCCTTTCTAGTCTCTTAACACATCCATGGGTTTAGGGGGATTAGGCTGTGGACATCCTGAGGAGGGCACTATTCTGCCAGCACAGGTGTGGAATGAAGTTCATTTTTTTCTTACATATGGTTATCTAATTGTTCTAGTACCAGTCTGTGGAAAGACTCTTTCTCCTTTCTCTCCTTCCTCCACTGCATTGCCTTTGTGTTAAAAATCAGTTTTTTCAAATATTGTGTATTAACATATATATGGGAAAATGGTACCGATGAGCCTATATGCAGGGCAGGAATCGAGACACAGATGTAGAGAACAGACCTGGGGACACAGGGTGGGAAGGAGAGGGTGGGATGAGTTGAGAGTAGCGCTGAAACATACACACCGCCGCATGTGAAGCAGATAGCTGGTGGGAAGTTTCCATATAACACAGGGAGTCCAACCTGGTACTCTTCGACAACCTAGAGGGGTGGGATGGGGTGGAGGGTGGAGGAGCGGTTCAAGAGGGAGAGACATGTGTATATTTATGGCTGGTTTGCATGGTTGT